CCTTCGACCCTGGCTTGAACTTGTCCAGGTACCCCTTCAGCGGAGCCTTGAACCCTTCCTCGCAAGTCTCCAACATGGTGATGATCGCAGCCGTCAACAGGAAGGAGTCTGGCGCCCCCAACCCATGTCCAGCCTTCCCCTTGACCCGCGGCAGGTACTCCTCGGCATGGGCCTTGGCCATGGCCCTCATGATGGGAGCCTCCACTAGCATCTCGATCTCTACCGTGCACGCTGCGGCCAGCAGCCTGGCCTCATGATTGGCAATCACACCCAGCTTGAGCGCCAAGTCGATCTTTTGCTTGTCCTCCGTGCATTCAATCTGGCGGTACTTCACAGAGCGACCCTGTGGCTCAGCTGCAGCGTCGCCAGGCCCTGCACGCGCGAACTGTTCCTTCCACATTCGGCCGAACAGCGCCGCACCTCGGGCGATTGGCAACGCACAGCCTGGTGCGTCCAAGGCCGCGACCGAAACACTCGAGCCAGACATCAACGAATTCGCACGCACCCCGCACCTCTGAGGCACGGTCATCAAAGTAGATGTGTTAGCATATGCGCTCTCGCCACTTCGTACGTGGCGAACTCCTCACTACACAGTTCACGCCAGTAAAGGGGGTCGACAACATGTTGATGCACCGTGACTGACCCCCTCGACCTCGGACATTGTCCTCGCTTAGTGGCTTGATCCAAGTGTTCCGATGCATATCGTTTTGTCGTATAAAAGTTGTTGCACAGGATGCATTTGTTTGATATAGTAAGTATGTTTGCCAGCTGCTTTTTCCCGCGTCCTTCTGCTTTTGAGTTAGACTGATGCAGCAGTAGCTGGCGACGCGTGTCGAAGCCCAGACCACGGCCTTCAATATCGCACACGTATGGTGCGGGAGCGGGCGGCTCGGGCAATTCTGGCTGCAGTGCCGCCGGATCTGGCTCTCCGTCTCCCTCCCGTGGTACCTCCTGCTCAGCTCCTCCAGCCTCTCCCGCTGCTGGCTGTTCTCCTCCACCTCCTCCTCTGTTCCCCCCAACCTCCACCTCCTCCATCAGCCTCCCCGAGATCTCAGCATAGACTCTAGGTCCACCCGCCACCCTCTTCAACTTCTCCACCGACACCTTCAGTACTGCCTCCCGCACTTCAGCGTCGCAAAAAAAAAGCAACTGGGCGTTCCACGAGCGCGGGCAGGATGTCTGGCATCTGTAAGAACTCAACGCAGGCAGAGGGATCAAGCAGCAGCTGGTTCCACCACGGCTGCGCCGAGCTCCCTCCAGGAGCCCTTGCCGAAAAGCCCATCTCGTCGCACATGTTGTGCTGGTCCCAAGCAGCGTAGCCGAACAGAGTGGCGATGAGCAAGACATGTCTCTCAGGGTTCCGAATGATTTCTTGCCACCAGCTGATCCTCTGCGCCCGCAGCAGGCTGAAGGGCGTGCGAATTCGCAGAAGCTCTCGAACCTTAGAAATGGGCAAGGCGGCGTGGCGTTTGGCCCTCAGCTCCGTCGCTTCAACCTTGAGACACCCTTTGCCCTGGAAAGCCTTTCTAGCTAGTTTCGCCTGCGCGCCCTCAATCTTCTGAAGCTCCGCCTCAGGAAGGGGGTACGCGATCACCTCCGATAAGAGCGAGGCGTCGATCATGCTCTTGAAAATGACTCCCCTCCACCTTTCATTCGTGACCTCGCCCCAGAAACTCCCCAGAACAGCGAACGCTTGCTCTGCGTGCTTGACCCGATACTCCACCTCTGGTTTCGATCTCCCTTGGAAATGCAGCTGGCCTCCCAGATACCTCGCCACTCTCTGAACCCCCCCCCTTCATTACGTACTTGTCCCTGTACAGTCTCCGCATCCCATACTGTATGCCCCTCCCCTCCAACTGCACCAATGACACCTGTTTGTCCCCGTTCAGCGCTACACCCTCCTCCCATAGCTCCGCATCAAGGTGCATGAACTGGGCATTCGTGCGCAACCTGCAGTGAGCTGCATCGTCCACGGCCGACGCGCGAGCGATGTCGTCGGAGAAGCTGGAAACAGAAATGTCGAAAAAAACTCCCGCGACAGGGCGTTGAGGCGCTGCCTGGCTTCAGCCTCTGTTGCGAGACAGTGCCTAAGCCACTTGATCTGCACATAGATTCCGCTGGCGTCAGAATCTCGAAACCTATCGATCGCGGTGTTGTAGGGCCCCAGGAACCATATGCATGCGACGGTGTCCCCAGGGTGAGTGCCTTGCCCGATGCTCACCTGGAGGTCCCCATCCACGCACTCAATCATCACCTGTGCGTAGTCCAGCCTCTGCTCCAGCAACACAGCTCCGAACTCGTCGCAGTGTGCGCGCACATACGCTTTCAGTCTATCATGATGGATACTGTGGAATGCATTCGCTGCGTCGTACAACGTTGTGACCCTACCTATCTTAGAGCCGTGCAGCCTAGCAGCGCAAGCGTTCTGCACTAGGATCGCCTCCTCCCGCCGCCTCCCCCGAAGATAACCGAATGTGCATGGCCGATCGGCCTGCTCAGTCAATGCTGGGTACGAGCGCCAGAGCTGAGCGTAGTAGGCTTTTCCGAGTGCGTCGAGCGAATGCACAAGCCTCTGGCCCTTGCATTCGCTTTTTCCATTGAGCTTATCGAGAGAAAAAGCGTGGCTTCGATGCCACTGCAACGGAGTTTCAGAATGCATCCTAATGGCCGTGCAAATCCACGCAATGCATTTGGTGATACATGGAAAATACCAGTCATCTACATTTTCATATTTCTCCAGGACCACGCCTCGCGAATACTTATATTCATTGGGGTTCGTCATCAGCCTCCACACGCCTGCGGGAAAACTCCAGGCAGGCGGCGTCCGCCTCAGGCGGGCGGACAACAGCTGCCTTCGCAAGCTTTCAAAATCATCATTCGCTCTGGCAAGCGCGTCGGGCGTGAGCGATGTGCACTCAGGCCGTGCAGCCCTTCGTGCCTGCTCCTCGTCCTGAACAGGAGGCCGCGCTGCAAATCCTCCCTTGCTACCCTGCTGCTCCAAAAAAGTGCGCCACGTACTCATTTCTAAGCGAGTCTTGGGGGCACAGAAGTTGCGTTGCTTAGGTCCTAAGTGGTTCCTCGCTAATAGCCTAGACAGTTTCCAACAGAGCGCCATGTCTCCTTCTTTCTTAGCAATTTCTAATTCGCTCGCATAAAGCCCCATGCGCCTAGATCTATACCGGCGCAACTGGAGTCTAACCTTTTTGTCTCGTTCTCTACACCTCGCGATGACCGCAGCAAGACACGCCCTGGGTTCGTACACCTCTAGACATGCACGCGACGCGTAGCACATGCGCCCGAGGAATTGGGGCGGCAGGAAATCGTGAACCCCACGCCCGCTAAACCTACAAAACGAGACTTTCAGCACATGAGGGGGAGGAAGAGGAGGAAGGGGGTCGATGGGGACGCTCTTCAAGTCACGAAGCAACCTACGATCCTTAATTCTGTCTTGCAGAGCCTGCGTAGTGTCAGGGGGCCTCGAGTCCTGCTTAGATTCGCGTTTAAAATACGTGCGAGCTACTGACTCCACCACCCCGTGCATCGTGTTATACATTAAATCCGCACTCTGCACACTGAGTTCCTGCACCCGCGGTGCTACCACTTCGAGCGCACGCTCGACTTGGTTCAGAAACTCCTCCGACCCCTGCCCGAACCTCACCGCACGCGAAATCGCATCGTGGTTCCAGCACGAAGGCGCTTGCTTGCACATCTCAAAGGAGGGTCCTACCACAAACCTCAGCACCAGAGGGTAGTGGTCCCTGCGCGTGCGAGTGTGAATTATCTGCAATTTCTCCCCCGCCCTACCCCACACCTCACACGACTCCGTATATGATCTAACTACCGCAGGCGCGCACACATAGTCGATCCTTGAAGTGTGCAGCCCCGAACCGTGGTAAAAAGTCGGCCCTGTCTCGAACAAACTGTTCAACGCTGCAAATTCTTGCTGCTCTAGAAAATCCCTCATTCTACTGCCGTTGAAATTCTCGTCGTCGGGCTCGCACGTGCCAACGTACCTAGACTCCTGCATGCCTCCTAGCTTCGCGTTCGCATCTATCATCAGGACGGGGATGGTGCGTGCGGGGAACGTGTCGACAAGACTATTCAAGCTTTTCCAGAATTGCTTACACTTCTTTTCCTGTGCACTTCTTTCTTTGGCCGAGCCGTGGGGTTCCGTCGGGGCATAGCCTACTACGAAGGTCATGTCAATGAGGTTCCCCCTGCACCGCACCGCGCCTAGCCTGCCTTCCATGCCTTTCGGGGACATCACGTGGCGGATGGTGTGGCTGGGGAAGGTCTTGGTGCTCAGCAGCAGCGCGAGGCCTGTCGGGCGGCCCGCCGCGCCACTCGCGCGAGGCCACCGAAAGCGATGAAAATGAGCAAGCCGATCCTGCTGACAAGCAAGCCCCCGAGGGTCAGGCGTACACTGTGTACCTTGCAATCCAATCACCTGGCATGACCTTAACTGCCTTGCAATATCATTCCACCGCCCCTCCTGCCTCAACGAGAGAACATTGTATGAACAGACCCGCAAGTTCTGCATCAGTCGGGGCTGCCCGAGCGCATCACTCTGGGGGAGTGTCGAGAGCGCGGCGGTGGCGCTCTGGGGGCCTCTTGTTGCCCCACACTTAGATCCCCTCGGGCCAGAGGAGCTAGGAGGAGGAGGAGGAGGAGGAGGAGGAGGAGGAGGAGGAGGAGGAGGAGGAGGAGGAGGAGGAGGAGGAGGAGGAGGAGTCCCGAGCGAAGTGCCCCCCACCTCGCCCCTTCGACATCGTGGGGTGGCGGGGGTGGGGCTCGCACGTGGCCTCCCAGGGCGGGCCATCGACGGGGACGGGAGAGCCCAGCATCGAATCGAGAATCGGAGCGACGGAGATCGCGAGCATTGAGTCGGGAGGAGCCGAGTGGGCGAGCATCGGCAGGCCGGTCAGGCCCCCATGGAGAGACCGAAGTCCAGGTCGGAATCCGAGGTCGAAGCGAATCGGAACCAACACCGACCGAAACCGAACCGAGCCGGAGGAGTCGAACTGATCGCTTTCACGTGGGACGCCCAGACCCCCCCGCGCCGCGAGCAGAGGCACGACGGACATGGTTCGGCAGCTCTCGGCCCTGCGTGGGACCCTTCCACGCCTCGGGACAGTCACACATCGACTCCAGACCCTCCTCCTCCTCCTCCTCCTCCTCCTCCTCCTCTTCCTCCTCCTCCTCCTCCTCCTCCTCCCCTGGGGAAGGGCTCCAGAGCCATCGGGGTCCACGCCGTGGGGGCGAACCACCAGGCGCCGAGGCACGGCAGCAGGAGGGGCGCGGGGTAGGGGCGGGGAGGGGTGTGCGGAAGACGAGGAACGAGAGGCGGGGGACAAAGGAAGAGGAGGAAGACGACGAGAACACGGAGGACGAGGAAGAGGAACGTGAGGAACAGCAGCGGA